GCCAGGAAGTGGGAAGACTTAGTGAGTCGGTCAACAATTACCCATATAGCATCATGTCCCGATCGTGCCTTGGGTAGTCCCGACACGAAGTCTATGGTGATATGTTCCCACTTCCACTCTAGAATCGGTAAAGGCTAAAGTAACCCACCTGGGCGTTGATGTTCTGCTTTGACCTGCTGACATACCAAGTACTTAGATACAAAGTCGGCTATATCTCTCTTCATCCCATTCCACCAGAACCGAGGTCGCATAGTTTGGTACATTTTTGTACTTCCTGGATGCATGACAAACCTTGAACTATGGGACTCCGTCATGATGTCTCTTTTTAACTCACTGTCGTCTAAGACACACATTTTGTCCTTGAAACGAATCAATCCGTCGGCAGAGATCTGAAATTCTGAGCTCACTCCCTGTTCTGCATCCTTCTTGGGGGTTACTAGGGCGGGGTCGACTGACTGAGCTTCCTTTATTCTTTAGATTAACTCAGGTTGGACTGCTAGGTGGCCTAAATATGTAGCCCTCTTCAGATCTCGCAGTCGAACCTGTTGTGTGGCCCCAATGGACCTGCATTCTGAAACCATCAAATAGGCTAGGGTGCCTGCACTTTTCCTGCTGAAGGCATCGGCTACTACGTTGCCCTTACCTGGATGGTATAGGATGTCACAATCATAGTCCTTGATGAGTTCCATCCATATTCTCTGACGCATGTTGAGATCCTTCTGAGTGAAGATGTGTTTCAAAATCTTATGATCGGTGTAGATATAAAAGGTCTCTCCATACAAATAATAGCGCCAGGTTTTCAAGGCGTGTATGATTGCTGCAAGCTCCAAGTCATGGGTATGATAGTTCTTCTCATGATTCTTTAGCTGTCTAGACCCATATGCTATAACCTTTCCATGCTGCATCAGGACACAACCCAGACCCAGATAGGAGACATCACTATAAATTGTATACCCTCCTGATCCACTCGATTGAGCCAGCACGGGTGCAGTAGTCAGTCGCTTCTTCAATTCTGAAAAACTCCTTTCGTAGTTCTCATTCCATTCAAACTTTGTATTCTTCTTTGTGAGTCGGGTTAGAGGAGCTGCTAGACTAGAGAACCCTTCGACAAACCGGCGGTAATAACCTGCCATCCCAAGGAAACTGCGAATTTCCTTAACTGTTGTCAGCCTTTCCCAACCAAGTACCGCTTCAACCTTTTCGGGGTTCACTGACACCCCTTCCTTCGATATAACATGTCCTAGGAAGGCGGTTTGCTCGAGGCAAAATCCACACTTGCTCAACTTTGCATACAACTTCTTTTCCCTGAGTACCTGTAGGACTTGGGCAAGATGATGAACATGTTCTTCTCTACTTTTTGAGTAGACTAAGATATCATCGATGAACACGATGACAAATTGATCCAAGAACTCTCTGAAGATCCTATTCATTAGATCCATAAAGATGGTCTGGGCGTTGGTCAGCCCAAACGGCATGACCAGGAACTCATAGTGTCCGTACCTGGTTCGGAATGCTGTCTTGGGGATGTCTTCTGCTCTTACCTTTACCTGATGGTAACCTGATCGTAGATCTATTTTAGAAAAGACCCGTGCACCCTGCAACTGATCGAAAAGGTCATCAATCCGGAGAAGAGGATATTTGTTCTTAATTGTTACATTGTTTATCCTTCGGTAATCAATGCACAGTCTCAACGTTCCATCTCCCTTCCTTGCAAAAGTAATCCCGGCACCCCATGGGGAAACGCTGTGTCTAATGAAACCACTGTCTTGTAGCTCAGTGATCTGTTTCCTTAGTTCCTCCATATCGATGCGGCTCATTCGGTAAGGAGCAACCGAGATGGGCTGGGTACCTAGCTGTAAGTCTATGGTGAACTCGACCTCTATGTCCGCTGGTAGACCGGACAGTTCATCCGGAAATATTCTGTAAAGTCTCGGACTACTGGAATCTCTTGGATACAAACTTCTTTCTTGGGTTTTCCTAGTTAGAGAAAATACAAGATTAAGGCATTGGGAATTAAGAAAACTTGCCATTAGGGAAAATCAGTACTGAATAATTTTATTAAGTTGTAAATGGCTCATCGTTGGGAGGATTAAATACAATCTTTTTGTTAAAGCAGTCTATGGTGGCGTGATACGCCGCTAGCCAATCCATTCCTAGGATTACATCAAAATCTCCCGTGTCTAACCCTATCAGGTCTACCCTCAATTTCCTATCTGCTATCTCTACGGCACATGCCCTGTAGACAACCTCTCCTAGCAATGTCTCCCCCCCAGCGGTAGATACAAGCAATAATGAATCAAGTCTATCAGGTGATACACAAATTTTGGAAGCAAGAACATGTGAAATAAAAGAATGTGATGCACCAGTATCAAACAAAACATGAGCAATGTGGCCAGATATAGTATACATACCATGTACCACGTCCGGGTCTGCGTCGGCATCCTTCTGGGTAAGGTTGTAAACTCTGCCCTGGATTGGAGGCCTTCCTTGATTCTGGTTCCTAGGGCATTCCCTTGCATAGTACTGGGCACTGCCGCATATGCGACAGGTGTTGTTGAGGCGGTAGCAGGGTCGGTCCCCGTGATCCCTGCCGCAGTACTGGCAGATCTTCCCACGTGCTGCCCCCGTAGCCTGAGGAGGGGCCTGGATAGCGGGTCTGGGCCTCTTACTGGGTTGGACAGGCATGGTAGGTGCTGGCCTGCGGAGCGGGGCTGAGGGTCAGGAACTTCCCGCTAGCTGAGGGTGGGTGTCGAAGCTCCTTTCTATGATCTGCGCCTTTGCCAGGACTGCTGAATATGTCTCGAGCTCCATCACCAGTAAGTGCTGTCTGATCTCCGGGCGGAGACCCCACTGGAATTTCCTGGCCTTTCGGCCCTCATCCATCAATGTCTCTGGGGCATGTCGGCCCAGCTCCAGGAACTTACGGGCATACTCCGACATTGTCATGTTTCCCTGAACCAATTGAGCAAACTCCATTTCCTTTAGGTGTTGGATGTGTTTAGGGAGATACTCCGCGTGGAAGGCCGTTAAGAACTGCTCCCAAGTAGCTGGTGTAGGCAGGGTGGTCCGCTTGAGCTCCCACCAGCGTACTGCTTCCCCTACCAGCATGTAGGAGGCAATGGCAGCCGTCTGCTCAGGGACTACTCCCAAGGTCTCGAAAGCTCTCCCACTCTTTGCCAGCCAGTATTGGGTCTCTTTAAAAGAGGATCCCCCTGCAAAAGTAGAAGGGTTCAGTCTTCTGTACCTCTCTATGAAGTCGGGGTCGATCAAGGAAAGAGCGGGGTCCCGAGGTAGAGGGATTAGGGTCGGCTGAGGGTGAACTGGGGGACCCTGTGGTGGCACCTGCTGATGTGGTGGGGGTACTGGAATGTGCTGTGGCGGCGCCTGGTGGTACCGTGGCTGTGGTACCGGGTCGTACCGCGGTTGTGGTGCCGGGTGGTACTGTGGAGGAACAGGCTCCTGCCGGGGTGGCTCGGGATCAGCCTGCTGTAGCGGGGGCTCAACCTGCGATAGCGGAGGAGGTCTGGGTAACTCCCTTCTCTCCTCTCGCCTTTGCTGGGCAGCTACGAGAGCTTCCACCATCTCAAATAGTCTGTCTAAATCCTCCCGAAGCGAATTATCTTGGGCCGCTCGGTTTAGTGGGGGCCTTCCTCTCCTCATTTCCGTGTACCTGCATTCACAAGGAATGGTTGAGTAACGATATATCGGTGAGTATTTCTCTAAGGCACTATTGTGTAAGGGATGAGTCCGAGGAAATGCGGCTCTGATACCAACTGTAACGGCCCCGGAAATTTTAAAATTTCCGGGGCCGTTACACAAGAAACCATGGACATGAGAGAAAGCACAAGAGTTCAGCCACACACACACACACACACAAAAATTGTGCAAATATTTTCTAAACCGTCCATCAAGATTAGATCTGCACCGTTCGATCGCGATTTAATTGGGATTAAATCTGGGCCGTCCATCGCGATGCAATCTGGGTCGTCCGTGCGCACGTTTGATTTGAACCGTCCGTGCGCGCGGGAACGGATCTGGACCGTCCGATCGCGCACACGCGGATCGCCCACGTGGCCCGTTTCCTGGTCAGCGTTGCCTTGCCACGCGGCGGGTCCCGGTTGGCCGGGGCTGCTGACCGGGCCGCTGACGTGGCTGCTGAGATGGGTGCTGACGTAGCGCAATTTTTTTAAATTACGTTTTGACCCCCGGTTTCCGATTTTCTTTTCAAAAACACCTCCAGAATCCAAAGTTTCACATATTTTTCTCAAAATCAATTTCAATTAAATCCAAAAAATATTTTTACCCAATTTTATCATTATTATTATTTTTATTTTTATGAAATTAGATTCAATTAAATCAAATTAAAATAATTACAAAATAAAAAAAATAATAACACTTGGAGTGTTACACTATCTCCTAGCCTCTCATAAGAGGAGATCAAAAGAACAAACTTACAGGGATAAGTTTTTATTTCCAAAACCCCCCTTAAAATATAAAATTAATTATGTATCTGTATTAACAAAATAAATAATTATATAAAACTTAAGATTATAATAATACAAAAAATAATTTCAAATTTAGGTCGTTGCTTCTGATCAAGTAAATTAGATTTGCCATAATAAACATATAAGCAAATACCCAGATAAGTTCTAAATATTATAATATGGAGTACTAATTCCCATCTTACCAGTTTGTCGATGTTCTCGGCAATTTTCATATTTTTTTTAAAAATATTATAAGACTAAAATATTATAATAACTATTTAATAATAAATAATAATAATAATAATACTGTTTCTAGTTTTCACCTACTTAAACTACTAAATTATGAAACAAAAATTTGTACAATTTTTTTGGGGAACTAGATCACAATTTCCTCCTAAATTTTCCATGAATGTCTCATCTTATTTTCCTAA